GTCTCCACATTCTCTTCTAAGCTGTGGAAAAGGTACACTTGAATTCGACAATCAGGAAAACTATGGTGGTGACCAAAGAAGAGAAAGCGGAAACTGGCTGCTTGGCGCTCATTTACACTAGGCTACCCTAAGTTCAAGGGAAAACAAAAAGAAAACCTTCAAGTTTTTTTCTAGAACTGTATTAATCTAGTTTTAGAAGGCTAGGAAAGGGCGTAGTGCTGTTTTGTCTAGTAATAAAAATTGTGCTTTTGGCAAAATTACCCGAGGGATACATGTATTATGTAATATTATTTTGGAAATCTAGCTAACACAAAAGGATAAGAAAACAGAAGAGTCGGTGTAAATATAGGAAAAGAAAAGATCAAATTGCATTTTCAATTGTATTGTATGCTTAAACTCAAAGCAACTCTCAATTTAAAAAAATACCATTAAAAAAAAGAACTTGATAAAGAGGGTAAAAATAAGATACATATGCAAACAACCTCTCTCTAGTAACAACTGGTTAGGATTAAATTAAGTACCATTTTCACAATAAAAGTAAAAACTATAAAACAAATTTATTATGAAAGGAACAAGACTATATTACTTAATACTATAAAATCTCAATGAAAACACACAAGATCTAATTATATTTGTAGCTAAGGGTATGTTCCTGTCATAATATTTAACAAAAACTTCCTACTTCTATGAAAGCATCATGTTCCCATTCTACTTCTTTTTGTTTTCTTTTGGGAGCAGATAGAACTATTTACAAGTTCTTATGGAAGAATATATCAACGAGAAGTGAAGAAATTGTAAAAAGAATTAGTGAGAGGAGAGTTGCCTTATCAGATATCAAAATGCACTCAAAACAGCAAACCTGTACTATTGGCATAGGAGTAAACAAACAGATCAGTGGAAAAGAAGTGCTAGTCTGGAAACACATGGAATATATGAGAAGAGCTGGTAAATAACAAAGAGGCAGCAATCAGGAAAGTAAAAATGGCAGATGGAGAAATAGAAAAAGGAAGGAAGGAGTCAGTGTCTGCCACACTAATACACATTTTGATTCTAAGGTGCCTGTTAGCACTGGCATGGAGTACCACGATCCTAAGAGCATTAACAGCTATGTCATTAAATTCAGGAACAGATCAGAAACACAGGAAGCAAAAAAAGAGTGAAGAAAATGTCAAGATACAAAGACAAGAAAGTTATTAAGTTTTAATAATAAAAGGACAAGGGAGCCTTGGCAAAGACTCAGAGACTGGATGTTCCACATTCATTCATCTGTACAACCAGCATTTGCTGAAACAAGAATACAGAGATGAGAGCAGGTAAAGAAGTACAATGTGATATGAGTGTCAAAGTAGAACTCATTAAAAAGACACTTTAAAATTTTACCTATAAGAATAAGAGAAAATTCCATAAAGAAGGTGGTATTTAAACTGGGTATGCAGGATGGCTAAATGTCCTCAAAGAGAAAATGGGCCATGGGGATGGGGACAGGGATTGATGAGCACTTCCAGAAAGAGGGAAGAGATGTCCAAATGCAAAAACGCATGAGAAAGCATGCCAGGTTGTAGAAGGAGGGTAGGTATGTATCGATTCTGCTTAAAAGAAGGTTTCAGATGCTCCTTTCTAGGCAAAGAGGCCTTCTGCATACATATTAGATTTTTTTCCCTGAAGCAAATCCTTTCCAATAGCAACCCAAATCCTACCGTTCAAATTTAGGGCACATTCACCCCAATCGAGTTCAGTGGGAAATAATCTTAGGAAAAATAACACTGCCAGACTTCAACCTTGAGCAGTTCAAACCATGGCACCTTTCCTCTCTTTCCCCTATTTTCTCTGTCTGCCTCTTTATCAGGCAGACAGAAATATAGGAGTAGCCCTGAAAACATCCTTCTACAGCTCCTAAGGCACCACAGGCCTACATTGTAAACTGCAAGCATGATAATGTATTGAACCTTTAAAATGACGAGTCTTTTCCCCTTGAAAATACTGAGAAAGGGAAATGGATTCTTAACTATAAACTGTTTGAAATTTGGACCTAAATGAAAGAGCACAGTGTATTTTGTTTGTGAGCACAGGTTTGGACTAAGTACCTTTATAAACTCTTGAAATTTGGGAAGATGGGGCACACATGACAGACATAATATTAAAACTTCTGTGGATAACTTAACTTTTAGATGTATGACTGGTTTGACCCGAGGAAGCAATGTTTCCACTTGATAAATTAAGAATGCTTTACTTCTGAAGAATGCGTAGTAAGATACGTGAACATTTTTGCTAGCAGATAGGACTGTTGCAGATATTTCTGTATTAATGGCTGGGACTTCTCAGAATAAGACAGTTAACAGTGGGAGTGGGGGGCTTGTTCTGGACTTCTATTTTCTGTATTAATATGTGGGAAGAACTGCTCGATCCAAACTGTATGACATTATACAGGAAGTATGGATTTGTGCAATGAGATTTTTAAAGGGCAATCTGGAGGACATTTTAATGTTGAGATTTTAAGGATGCTAATTGTTTGGGGTACTTACACAATCCTACCTGGTACCCCTGATGGTACAATATGGCTCAGACATAGCTGGAAATTAAAAAAAAAAAAAAAAAAAAAAAAAAGTGCCTACTTAGTACTATTCAGTGCTTCTTAAAAATGTAGCTGAGTGGGATTATCTGCGATGCTTGTTTAAAATGTCAGATTCTGGTCCCCTGCCTTCAGAGAGTCTGATTCAATATTCTGGAGTAGGACTCTGGAATCTACACTTGTAACAAGTACGTCAGCTGATTGTGATGCAGAAGAGAAACACTGATGCATGCAGTAATGGCACAAATCAATGACAACCACCACAGACATTAACTTCTTAGGATATTTTCCTAAGTATTCTGAATGAAGTAGTTGATTTACTAAAACTATTATTGATTTTTTTGTCATACTGATAATAGTGTTACATTGATTTAGTAAATATAGTTGTACAGTGCCTGAAAGACCTACATAAAAAAGGGAATTTTTCAAGACTTTGTGTCAAAAGATGACTCTATAACAGAATCACAGTTCAACAAATTTAGAGACCAGCAAAACTTTAAAATACATATAATTTAAGTAAAGCCCTTTTACTGCAAGGTCCTTAAAATAGAACACTGTTCAGATAATACTTTTCGTACAGTAATCCACTCCTGCCTTATTCACGGTTTCCCTTTCTGAGGTTTCAGTTACCTGCAGTCAACCATGGTCAGGAAGCAGATGACCCTCCTCCTCCTGACACAGCATCAGAAGGTCACTAGCAGCCTAATACTGTCACAATGCCTATGTCATTGACCTCACTTCATCTCATCACGTAGGAATTTATCATTTCACATCACCACAAGAAGAAGGATGAGTATAGTACAATAAGATATTTGGAGAAAGCCCACATTCCCCTAAGTCTCATTACAGTATATTGTTATAACTGTTCTAGTTTATTATTAGTTATAATTATTAACCTTTTATCGTGTCTACTTTATAAACTTTATTACAGGTATGTATGCATAGGAAAACATGGCAAATATACAGATCGATATACTATCCAGTTTCAGGCATCCACTGGGGGGTCTTGGAACATATCTCCCACAGATGGGGGGGGCGCTACCTATAGAATTTATCTTTTCTCACATTCTTTCTCTAGTATGGGAAGCACATGCTTTGCTATGATCTTGTAGTCCTAATCCCATGTACTCCTACACACATACACATTTCTAAAACAAAGTCGATATTTTACATACTTTATACTGTATTCAAATAAAAGTGATCAAAAGTAACACATGCCAAAACAACGTCTTTGTTAGACTGACTCTTGCATTGACATGGACTAGCGAATTCATCTATTCTATGGATATATAATTCACAGGATTTGTTATGACAGGATTGAAAAAGAATTATTATCATGGGACAGCTGACTAGACATGAAAATAATCTAATCACATTAAACAAGATAATTATCATGATATCCACTGAAACACAATTATATATATATATATATATATATATATATATATATATATATATATTTGCATATGCGTGTGTGTGGATATATACACATACACAAATACATATATACATATATATAATTTAAGGCTTATTAATGCAAGATACTTACTACTGTTAATAATGTAGCTTGGAATCATTTTACCTTTTAATATTGCTGCTGAAATTCCAATGGTAGCACAAAATGGGGGGAGAAAAGCAAAGGCATTAAAGACTTATATGGAATAATAATTTGCCTGTGTTTGATGTGCATAAATGCATATACGTAGGAAAAGAGTTGAGCAAAAGGACTTGGGGAAATAAAATCACAAACACAGGAAGATTTAAGATTAGAAATCCTTTCTATTCTGTTGTTCCCAACTCTACATCCTTATGTACATATGTCCTACTCCGTTGTTCTTAAATAGTTGACACTTGAAAGGATCTCAAAGAGGAATAAAGCACTATAAGAATGAGAAGACAAGACAAAACAACACTGACTTGGCTAGCACTAGGTTATAGCTAACCTTTTTTTTTTTACTGTTTCACCTGGAAGTTACACTGAATTGAATCAGTTTCCTACATATCTGTGAAACAAACATCCCAGGGGATTCAACAACCTGCACCAATTACACAACTTTAGCCATTTACAGGTAATGGGAGAAATAGAGTTCTCCCTCCAGGCTCCTCCAGTAGATCAGGAGGTGCGGCTACCATAAGCAGGATGGTAGTAGTCTATGTCTGATGGTTCACTTTCCCTCATTTCTCCACTATTCCAGGATGTGAAATATAAGAGAATACCAGTAAGACCTGCCGTTTATACAATAATTTGGGTTTCGAATAGCTTTCAAATAACAAACATTGTGGCCTATAGAGGACTATATATTATCGTGAATTAAGGCATGCTGCCTTGCTCTTCAGACATCACTTATATCTCTTATAACTTATAAATCCCTATGTGATAAACCTACACCTCAATGGGTAGAAGCTGCTAGATTTGTACTGCCTTCAACAAGACAGTGGTCATTTGATTATTGGTGGCCTGCTGAAACCTAACTACTAGTATACTGTATACAATACCACTCGATACAATCTCTTTTTATTCCTTATAAAAGAAATGTAAGATCTAGTATCAGCAGAACTGAATGGTGAACATGTGTGGATATTTAAATTGACTCTCTTGATATATTCCCCCGTATGTTTATCACTGGGCAGGACCATAGCAAAAATGATAAATTACATGTAAAAAACATTATTCTGAAAGCATCCTAAGTCAGCAAACAAAGCAAAGTAAATGTTTTGCAACTCTTATTTCCAAAAGAAAAATATATTTTGAAAGCATCTTCTTTTTAACTTCTTTTACCAGTGCACCAAAAATAACTTTCTATAACTCATTTTTGTTATCAAACTAGTAAAACTAATGCTAAGCTACATCAAAAACAAGGATTTTTTTTACCCTTACCTCTATCTTTTGCTTTGTCAGAAAGGAGCACCTCCACCTCCTCATATTCCTGGATGGCATCCAGTATGATATTTCCTTCTTTACTAAATAAGAATAGCATGGGGATCTTGATGTCATCTGTGTCCTTCCCATCACCTGCCATCTGGAACAGAGGGGCAGTATCACTGCTGCTCCCCTCATTGTCATCTAGCAGAAAATGAATACAGCAAACATAAAAACATCTGTCCATTAAAGAGATCTACAGACAAAACTTTACTGTTTTTTTTCCCTGTTGGCAGCATTTATTTTATGCATCAAGAATCATAAAAATGAACATACTTGGGGCTCACTAATTCCACTCCTAGAAATTTATCCTGAGGAAAGAACTCAAAAGAAGCAAAATGATTTACTCCCAAAGTAGTATACTGGAGTGCTACTTATAATTGTGAACAACTGTGAACTATTATAAGTAAATTATAATTAAGTACTTGATGGGACACCCAGGAAAACAGAATATTATTATTACATGAAAAAAGTAGAACTCAAAATTCTATGATTATGACTAAAAACTTCCATCTGCTTATGAAAAGCCTTGGAGTTTTCACTCAAAGACTTGGATTACAATGATAGAACTATGAATGAAATTTTATTGTTGCTTAAGATTTCCTTTAATGGCATTTACCAAACTACCTATTGGTAGTTCTTTTTTATATACTGCTCACAAAGAAGAATTATGATAGTCGTTTTCGCTCTGTAAGTTGAGGTGACCATTGCTGTTAGTTTACATTGGTTAGCTAACCGCAGTAGGACTGCTTAATACTGTTTGACCACGGGGCCGGCCATGTCCACCTCTAACTGCACACGCCAGGTGAAGAACCTCCCTGTCCCTTCTCAGAAAGCTTGCTCTGAGGACCCACCTCCTTAGCAATAACTGACTAGACAAGCATGGCCACCTGACAGTCTCTCTGGAGGACCTAGAAGTGGCACACAGAATGACTGCTCCGGTTAGCAGTGGGTAGTGATCTAGTAAAATAACAGACTCATGGTTGAGGCTGCAATTTTACAATGACTTCTTGGAACTAATGGGCAAAGAGGGAACAAGCTAGTGAGAAGCTGGAGAGTGAAGCAGAACTGCAAAGAGATGCAGAGAAGAGAGTCTAGGAAGACCCAGAGATAAAGAGACAGACAGATGTGAAAAATGCTACTTAAAAAAATCATGGTTCCTGATGATTTTTGCTCAGTTGAACTTCTTTCGTGTTCAATTAAAATAATCCAGTCCCTCGTAGTAAACAAACTTTCCATCTTAAACCAGTTTAATCAATTACTGTCTCTTGCAGACAAATGATTATTCTAAGATAATTTTTACTTCTAGTACTGGCAGTAAAAAACTTAGTCTTAATTATTAGCTCATTTATTTACAATCAAAACTAGAAAAAACAAAATACTTCATCAGAAACAAAAAAACATAGGAAAAAGAAATTATAACACAAGAAAGCTTCCTTTTAAAAATTAAATTTTCTGAGAATAAAGATCATTGCCTCTTGTTTACCCACAGAACTCAGTAGAGGATTCTGCTACTAATAACTACTAAAGACAACATTTGACTTGACAAACCTCGCAGAGTAGAGGATACCACAAGAGTCACACTTTATAGGGAAAATGGTAACTATTCCACTTATGTTCCAGACTTTACTTTTTATATTTTAAAGTCTTGGTGAAGAGGTGTTCAAAGTGATAGTGATGACAAGCACTAAATTCTTCAATAAAAGAGGTCTCTGTGTGGAAAATAACTAGGGATAGAGAGATGATTTGAGCGGAGCATCAGCAACCTGCTTCTGTAATTGGCCAGAAAGTGAATGTTTTGGACTATGCAGTTCTCTACTCCATTACTGTGGCTCAAAAGTAGGCACAGACAGGAGCGCCTGGGTGGCCCAGTTAGTTAAGTGTCCGGCTTCGGCTCAGGTCATGATCTCGCGGTTCATGAGTTCGAGCCCCACATTGGGCTCTGTGCTGACAGCTCAGAGCCTGGAGCCTGCTCTGTATTCTGTGTCTCCCTCTCTCTCTGTCCCTCCTGGCTTGTGCGTGCGCGCATGCACTCTCTCTCTCTCTCTCTCTCTCAAAAATAAAAAAACATTAAAAAAATTTTAAAGTAGGCATAGACAATAAATAATTTTTTTCATTGAAAGAAATCCTAATATTTTATCTTAAACGTCCTAAATTATTTTCATTGAAATAAACCTTATATTTTTATGTTTTATTTATTTATTTATTTTCAGAGAGAGAAAGAGAGCACACCTGCAAGGGGGGGGGGGGGGGGGGGGCGGCGCAGAGAGAGAATCCTAAGCAGGCTCCACACCAGCAGTGCAAAACCTGATGTGGGGCTCGAACCCACGAACCGTGATATCATGACCTGAGCTGAAACTAAGAGTCAGATGTCTAACTGACTGAGCCATTCAGGAGCCCCTAAATCCTAATATCTTATTTTAAATGTCTTTTTATTTATCTTGAATTCAAAAAGGAAATCTATTCTAATAAGAAAGAAAAAATTCAAAAATAGATCTCCCCTGTGAGAGACACTATAAAAACTTAACTTCATAATTAGGATGTGACCTCAGGTCTTCTAGTTCTGAATATAAACTACTTACTTATAGTGTCAAAATGCATATTTTCCCTGACAGTCACGGGCTGCCCATTATAAGTGATTTTCTATGAAAAATAAAAAAGCAGAACACACTGGTTGAAATGCAGAGGTAAAATGATTTGAGTTTGTAATTTCAGTGGAAAAAGACCCAAGAAAATAAAAATTTGCTAGCAATTAGTACTTATACCTATGGTATGTAAGCCCTTATGCTAAGAAATTTTATGTATTATTATCTCCAAACCTTACAACCACCTAAAAGATATTTATTAACATTTTCACTGGAGCTTAAAAAAAATTCTATTGAATAAACTGATAAACTAAAGCTGGGCCAAGGCCAAGGTTACACCATGATCTTGTGGCAGAGCCAGGAACTGTTCCCCCATGTATTTGACTCCAAACCCTGCAACTTTGTGGAGGAATGAGTATTTTTAATGGCTCCCCACTGGAGGTGACAGGGTGTAATTCTTGCCTTTAAGGGGCTTTGGATCTCAAAGCACATTATTTATCCATAGTGTTGGGTGCTTTGGGGTATCCTACCTTCACACACACTTTCACTGGCATTAATATACAGAAACCTAAATCTAGACTTTCAAAAAAGATACAAGATACATAGAAATTATTAAGAGTGTCACTGGATTACCCATCCATTACACTGACTAGTGAAGTAAAAATAATATGATGAATTCCAATAAAATTTTGAAAAATACAAGGAAAAAATCCTAAAAATCATCTCCTCCTCATCAACACAACGGCACAGAGGATTACTCACCAATAACAATGCCACCAATGGCACCAGCATTCTGAATGTTGCGTGCCTTTTCTGCAAACATGCACTGTCCTCTTTGTATCAAAGCGATTTTTCCCATCACTGCCTCGGGGTTAGTAAGCTCTGAACAACCATTGTATGGTTTACTGCTTGCAACAAATCCTCTCGTCTGTCAGAAATAAAAGTAACTTAAATATTCCTTTATCTTCTCAAATCACTATCTAGAGTTTTAAATAAGCCTTATTTCTTTTCTAATGATAACACATCCAATATATAAATTTTTGTTTTGAACATTTTGCATATCATATAGTACCCAACTGACATTTTACTGTGCTCTGCAGTTTATAAAGCATTTTTACATAAATGACTAAATCTGATCTTTATAAAAACTCTAAGAAAAATAATACAGATGATATTTCCATTTTACATATGGGGAAACTGAGACTCAGTTTACCTAGTATGCTCAAAGACACAATGTTAGTGAGTGGTAAAGTTGGAATATGTAAATCTGTAGGCAGTTTCACTATGTACCCACACCCACAATTAAAATAGCTGGTAACCATTTTTAAATCATCACTGGTAGCCAGAAAAAATTTTGAAAGAGGAAAAACTTGGATTTAGTCTACACAAATCTGTAAGCAGTTCTTCTTCTTAGAAAAATTAAATCCACTAGAGAACTGACTTTAAAGATGCTAAAATAAAGATGTTTTAATATCCCTCTCTTAGAACATAAACTCCATGAGGGCATGGATCTTCATTGGCTTTGTAAACTTGATATACAGCAAACATCTAATAAAACAGTGCCTAGAATATAGTAGGGACTCAGTAAAGAGGTGCTGAATGGATGAGTCAATCCACAAACCTATATAGCTTTAAAATACACATATAAAAATGGCCTAAATTAGGGGTAATGGAGTTCAAAGACCATTGGCTTTAGATGGTCAGGCTACTTGGGTCTGGTCCCAACTCTGCAACCAATTAGATAAACTTGTGCACTGTTTAGCAATGCAGGTCTTTGTTTCCTGTGTTAAAACTAAGGGGATGGGCTAGCTTAGTGGTCTTCCTATTGGCCTGGTGGGACCTCAGCATCACTCTCCATAGCCACTTGGGCCAAAACACCTCTGCTTTTAGAGCTGTTCTCTACGTTAAGGCTCCAAGTTAGCTTATTGTTCAACAAAAGGTTCTAGTAGTGGTTAGAAAGTCCCAAAACCCATTGTTAGATAATTTAAAGATACTAAATTAGAGAACAGGCCAAGAAATGGACAGTATCTAAACAATATTTTAAGTAAAATCCTATAAGTATGTTGTATACATAAATTATGACTCAAAATTTTCAAGATATGTTTTTAACTTTAATCTTCTTTAATCCGGGAGAGTGAATATTTAGGTTTTAATAAATTAAATATTTAGGTTTAATAAATTAGAGTGACTAAGAAATTAGATAATACTTACACAATACTTTAAATTCAATTTCAACAAGTACATTGTAAGTGTACACACCTCTTTATGTTTAGACAGATCTAGCCCAAACTGAGCTGGTCCAGCAGTCAACACTACCCTGCCAAAAAATGGGTGGGAAACAATCTGTACAGCTCGTGGAGGTAGCTGCTGTTCTTTCTGTTGCTGACTTGACAGTTCAATCATCTCCTGCATGAACCTCAACCCATCTTCAGCATCAATTGAACTAGCAGCCTAGGAAAAAAAACAAATTCATTTTATCCTTTCCTTATGAAAACTTTCAACTTTCTGATTTCTTAAATACTACTACAATAATTTTCCCTTTCAGTTTTGGTCCCTATCAAATATTTTATGGCTTTTTTTTGTCCTCAAAAATATTACTTCTGGAAATATTTTCTGAAGGTAAATTTATAATCTTTATCAATGTCTCTTTCACTGTTCTACAAACCACTGATACAAATGGGAGTATTAGACTTCCACCAAATGCTCAAATGCTAATACTATGCTTGATTTCTCCCCACTGCTTCCTCTTTTCAGAAATAAACCTCATACCTGACCCACACTTCGCTTCTTTGGAATTACGAACCAACAACCAGATTAAATTCAAAATATATGTATCAGGCATCTATTAGTGTTGGGCTCCAGCACTTCACTAGGAAGTGGGGAGATAGTCTTTCACTTTAAGAAGTTTGTATCCAGAGGAGACAGACATGTAAAATTACCTATGATAAAATTCTCCGGTGGGAAAGTAGACTAGCAGCACAGACAAGGGAATGATTGATTCTGCCAGTGTGGATCTGGGAAATATTTAGAATGACATGTGAATTGAGTCTTAACAGACGAAAAGCTAAAGAATGCCTGACTATGGTAGAAAGAAGGTGGATTCCTGAGACTGTACAGGAAAAGCCATTTGGATTTGACAGGAGTCAGAGGATGAAAGAAAACAGAGAGGGTTGGGACACAGAGACAAGTTCAAGCCTATCTTGATATGTCCAGTTTCGGTGACTTAGGAGAATGATGTTAGGGTCTACTGAGACGGACAACAAAAAGGAAAAGAGATGGACTGAGGTGGGGACAGGAAGAGATAATTAAATCAGGTTTGGACAGATTGAGACGGAGATGCAGACACGTATGACAGGCAGACTAAAGCTGAATTAGGAGTCAGGGTTACCTATGTGTATCTAAGAAATCATGTGTACAAAGACGACAGCTGAACTTGTAGAAACGGAGGAGACTGCTGAAGAAGAGTATAGAGAGAAAAGGGTATGATCCAGGTTCTTTGGCAGTGCCTACGTTGAGTGGTTGTACCAAAAAAGGAGAGCTCCAAAGGAATCCACAAAGCAAAGAACAGAAAAGTAGGAAAGATGTATGTTGCTGCAATGCCCTGGAAGCCAAGAAAGGGATAGGTTTTAAAAAGAGGTCAGTCAACAGTTACAGAAAAATTCAATCAAGTAAGGATTAAGAGGCCATTGGGTGGTAATTATGTCATTGGTGGCATAAGTAAAAGTAATGTAGTTAGAGATGTCACTCCCACTACTGAGAAGTGGTGGGACAGTAAGTGAAACATAAGGAAGTGGATAGAATACTCTTTGAGGAAGGATGGATGTGACAACAGAGATGAAACAGAATTCCGAGACAAAAACTAAGGTTGTGGGAAGGCTGAATTTAAGGGATACCTGGTATGGATCCAGGTTGAAATTATTTAGCAAACTATGTAGTTTTCTCAGAATCAATATACTAATAAGCTGGGTAATTAAAAGGCCTCATGTTATGAAAGCTTTTCCAGCAAAAAAAACAATAGAATTTTCCCAAAAGGGAAATTTGTTATCTTTCCTAGGCATAGACATGTACATGCAACTTTTGATTTCCATAACGAATAAAATACTTAGATTCAGGAATGTTTTGGAAACTAAAATACTGTAAACTACAGAGATATTAAAACTAATTATTAGCTTTTAAGATTATGCTCTAAATTATGGAAAGACAAGGGACTGAAAAACAGAAAAATTTGGATTTGAGTCCTACATTTGACTATATCAATTTAAGCAAACTACCTAACCTTTTTGTGATTTAATTGATCTAGCCTATGAAAGGGTTGAATTACATGGCTTTCCAAGATACCTCTCCAAGTCCTAAAATTTTAGAATGATTCTCTAAATCATCTATTAAAAGCTTTTAGAAAGCCAAATGTCATTATCTTATTCAAGCTAATGAGACCACAGAGGGCAGAGATGGTATCTAATTAGTACAGCAATGGCTTACTTGGATTGCATGTTGAACCAACTGGACTCTCCCATCTTTGAGGTGAATCAAACTCACCCCCATCTTCTTCAAGATTTCTAAATGTTCAGGGTTAGTGGCCATGAAATCTCGGGCTCTCAGAGGGGGTTTAGCTCCACTCCTGAAACTCTCCTCTCTGCTAAAAGTAATTACAGACAAGGTTTAAAAAACTACAAATCAGAACTGGGGAAAAACAGAAGGCAAATAAAAATAATTGGAGGTATTTGCAAAATTGCTAGTTATAGAACTAGTGAAACTGGAAAAAACTGGAAACAGTTATTTTCCCATATATTACTTAGGTTATTAAGTGGTATAACTCTCAAATATTTTACAATTATCCAAGCACGTATATTATCTGCAGGACTGTCTTAGTCAACAGTCTTATAAACTATTTGAAGGTACAGGATAGGTTGGCTTGGGGATTTGTTATTACCGATTTCTCCCTTGAAAAACAGACTTTTCTCCCAATATTTTAAAAGTAAAACAATACTTCTATCAATGAGTAACAATACTCAAAATTTTTTTAAATTTATTAATGGCTTTTCAATGTAACTATTTGGGAAAAAATGAACTCATTAAGCCAAAAAAATTTATTTAAAAATCAAGAATAAGTACTTCATCAAAAAATAAAATCAATTAAAACAAAATCTATACTTTCCTTATGTAGAAAACAGTTAAAGGAAAAATATTTTTTAAATATTTTCTACATATACAAGACATGTGGAAATATCTGATGGAACTATTCTGGGTAAAAATGAACTACAGAAGTTAAAAACTACTATATGCCACCCACTGACCATTAATACTTAGTTCATTAAACAAAAGATACACCATAATAAATTTCCGTAAGAAAATTTCCATAAGAAAAAGACATTACTGCAGAATAAACTTTTTCATATAACTTTACCAATGAATAACTTTTAATTACTGGTAACTATATGCTTCAATATTTTTGGTCTAAGTAAACGTCTTTTTGGCTGTTACATGTTCCTTACATTCTCTATCATTTACGAACAATTAACTTTAATATTAACAAATATAAAATAATACATCTTACACTCTGATGATGCCTCTAGGACAGCTCTTATCCACCACATTTTTCAAGGGTTCACGAATGCTCTGAGCATACAACGGATCATTAGGGAAGAGAATCTGAGTGTTTGGACAAGTCCAATCAAAATTACTGTCATCCAGTTCTGTATATTCTGAAGTCTACAATATAAAAGAATGTTATGTAAATAAAAATAATTATTTTACTTAACATTACAGCTTGTTCAAATGAAACATTAAATAAAATATAAGAATATATAGGATGCAATAAAGGAGACAAAGAAAATATCAAGTGTACTTTTCCTCCTACCATACATATATTTATTGAATTCTATGCACAGATTACTTTTCACTTGGAAAAATAAACACATAAAAGACAATAAAACATTTAATTAAAAAACATAACCTACTGTATTCTTCTTAGAGATGCTTTGATTTGTAGTAGAGAGCCAAAGAGGTAACAGATGAGCTTCTGTTGTAAAGATGTAATCTTCTATGTCAAAGATAATGTCTTCTTTATCGGCAAATAACAGGTAAAGATACTTAAACATCTCAGCCAAGAAGAAAGAATCCATTCTAAAATAAAAGGTCATAATTAAATCTTAGAACATAAAAATATTCAAATACCAACTATCTGAAAGCCAAAGAGTCAAGGTCAATAAACATGTCTGTATCAATTTAGATGTCCAAAGTACTACAGAATCCATCTATCCCCCGGTGGTAATAGTCTTGACTCCAAGCATATTCCAAGGAAATGAAAAAGACCAGAGGGACTGCCTACCACACAGGCACACTAAATCTTGTCAATGGTGCAGACAAGATTTTCCTATTGGCCTTCCAATGAAGGAGAGTTTTCCATTTCTTCTACAGAGAAGCAACAAGAGGGAGGTAATGCAGATGAAACTTTACTAGTAAGAGCCATACAAGAATTGTCAATTTATATTAATTAAATTGGATAAAGTAATACAATTTTGATGGAGTTCATGATGTAGACACTTAAGTTATATACAAGAAGGTTTTAAGGTAAAGGAAATCATTTCTAAAAAATTACAAGAAAAAAGTACAACACAAAATCACAGGGACTATGATTCTAACTGTAAATATTTAAATACCTGTCAAGAAGGGAATATAGAACAAAGGGAATAAAAATATAAATATATATGACTTTACAAATGATTCAATGTTATAATGTTTTAATAAACATTTTAAAGAAAAGCTTTTAATAAAATCAAAAGTGGCAGAAAAAGCACAGCTGTTAGATGTAGTTACAGTAACATGAAATTTCATTACATTTACTACCTCCCAAAGAGTCCTAGGTTTTGGTGGTAATAACTTGTGGCTTACTGGACAGATGACATAGTTTTACATCTCCTGCCAAGCACAAGTCCTGGCACACAGTAGGCACTCAATAAACATTTACTAAATCAAATGAAACTTTTAGCAGTATTACAAAAAGAATGAACTAGAGAGGCAATGGAACACAGTGATAAGAACACAGGCTTTGGAAAAAGAAAAGGCCTTTCACTGACTAGCTGTGTAATCATGGGGATATTATATAAGGACTGTGAGTTTCAGTTTATTTTTTTGTAAAGGACATAACAATACCTGCCTAACATGGGGGGAAGACTAAATGAGATACTCTAAGTCCATTATTTAGCATAGCACCTGGCATATGTATAAGCTCAAAACACAGCTATCTTTATTTTTCCTACACATCAATGATGTTTCAGTTTTGGATGACTTTCATTACTCACCTGTAAATGTCACAAAAATTTTTGAACATTTTGTAGTTAATCTTTTCAGAATAGATAAAACATGCCCTGTCAACCTGCAATATACTTATGATAACGGAGAGTTACTATCATGATAAAATGTTAGCTTGAGAAGTATAGACTGATGAACACAGTGTTGACTTGTGGTGAATTGTAGAACTGATTATGAGACAAATGATTTGGAAACATTTAGAAAAGAATGGAGACATGATAGATCACTACAGTATGAGTTGGGTAAAGCTAGCAAACTGGGTATCTTATCATATAATCTCATTTGTATTAAAAAATCATTGGGGTGCCTGGGTGGCTCAGTCAGTTAAGCATCCGACTCTTGATTTCAGTTCAGGTCATGATCTCACACAGTTCATGAGTCCGAGCCCCACATTGGCCTCTGTGCTGATAGCACGGAGCCTGCTTGGGATTCACCCCCTTCTCTTTGTATCTTTCTCAAATATAAATAAAAATAAAAGTAAAAAAAAACAACAACCCAGAAATGCAAACATATATGCAATAAAACTGTCTGGAAGACGGTTTATCAAATTGCCAACATTGGTTATCTTAGGGCTGGCAAGTAAGGGAGTGTCTTAGCAAAGATTTTCATATTATTATTTTTTTTAATTTTCTTTTTACATTTATTTAGTTTTGAGAGACAAAGAGAGACAGCGTGAGCAGGGGAGGGGCAAAGAGAGAGACACAGAATCAGAAGCAGGCTCCAGGCTCTGAGCTGTCAGCACAGAGCCTGATGTGGGCCCAAACCCACGAACCGTGAGATCATGACCTGAGCCAAAGTCGGATGCTTAACTGACTGAGCCACGCAGGCGCCCCTTGATTTCAGTTCAGGTCATGATCTCACACAGTTCATGAGTTCGAGCCCCAGGTTGGGCTTTGCGCTGACAGCATGGAGCCTGCTTGGGATTCGTCTCCTTCTCTTTCTTTGTATCTTTCTCAAATATAAATAAAAATAACAGTAAAAAAAAAAAAAATGCAAACATACATGCAATAAAACCGTCTGGAAGACTATTTATCAAATTGCCAACCGTGGTTATCTTAGGGTGGGCATGTAGGGGAAGTGTCTTAGCGAAGATTTTCGTATTATTTTCGCATTTAAATTCTTTCCAGTGATCATTATTATAAAGAAAATACAGATAGTCCCATTCTGAAAATTGTGTGTGTGTGCGCGCACGCGTGTGCACATGGGCGCAGGGACACTGGTGACCCAGGTGACAGCACTGGTAGATCTGTAAAGGAATAAGCAACCAAATGCAAAGAGTTTGTAACCTGCAAACTCTCAAGTTCCACACCATAAGGTACACTGGTCTTGGTCCTAACCAGAATTCTTCCTGGCAATTTAGATGGAAATTTTCTAAGGTACGCTTAAACTGCAGCCCACTGAACTTAGGTAATATGTTAGATGACTAAGATGAGATTCAAGCTCTCTTTTAGGTCTAGAAACACATACACATACACATACACACACCCCAACAAAACCAAATTTTGCTGAGGTAAGTATAAAGTTCTAAGTTTACACTAAAGAAAAAAAAATCATTTACTCAAAAGTAGGGTGGAGAATACCCATTTGTCAGCAGGCCACAAGTAACTGAGGTCAACTGGCTACAAGTTCACCGTGAGGTGAATATAATAAAGCTGCTAAAAAATCTAAAGCACATCTAATAACACAGAATGATGAGGATTAGTACTTCTCAACCTTTCGTTCGGCCAACTGCCTAAAAGATCCAATGCTGTCCTCAATGCTGTCATGAGGAACAGAGTTGATGAAGCAGTGATCCTCAATTGAATAGAGGGTGTAAACCCATCAGCCCCTCAGAAAATTAGCAACCTTACAACTGTTCTTAACAGTGATGTTTTTGCCAGGCACACCTTAAGTGTGATTAATTCTGGACTTGTTATTTTAAGAGATACTCTATATTTTGGAATATGAAATCAGATTAGGGCAAAGGCAGTGGTAAAAGGTCTAGAAACAACGTCATGTAAGGAATATTCACTGGGGAGAAAAAGAAGAATGTTAAATTTAGAAAACTAGAACTCTCTAAACAGGATAAATCATGTCTTCCTCTGTAATTCTTCAACCTGTTACCCCTTTTTTTCCACCATAGCACAAATCACATGGTTGCAATTATGTCTTTATACACCTATCTTCTCCACTAACTGTTAAGTCATGGGAGGGCAGGAATTGATTCTAATTTCTTTTTCCATCCCCACACCTAAGCGTGGTGCTTGGCATAAAGAAGGTATTTAATTATTGTTCCTTGAATGAACTGCCAGAATAGCATGGTGTTCAAGAGCTTCGTGTTCTTAGAGTTCAAGTATTGATGGGAATCTGGACTTAACTTTACTAATGTGTGACCTTAGGTAAGTTCCCCAATTTCTCTGTGCCTCAGCTTCTTCATCTATAAAATGAAGATTATAGTAGAAATTACACTTCAGAGAGTTCAAGATCAAATGAGTTAAACACAGAAAGTGCTTAATCAGAAGAGTGTCCGGGTGCCTGGGTGGCTCAGTTGGTTAAGCATCCAACTCTTGATATCAGCTCAGGTCATGATCTCACGGTTGTGAGATCGAGTCCTGCACTGGGGCTCCATGCTCAGTGAGGAGCCTGCCTGGGATTCTTGCTCCCTCTCCACACCCCCGCTGTGCTTGCATACCATCTCTCACTCTCTCTGTCAAAAAAAAAAAAAAAAAAAAAAAAAAAAAAAAAAAAAAAAAAAAAAGAGCACCCAGAAGGTGGGAAGCAGTGAATAAATGTTAAAAACAAATACACAGCCTATTTGCTTTCATTTCTTGCTGGTATCTGCATGCCAGTTTCTAAAAACCTAACCAGTTTTCATCAGCTATGATCAGGGAAGTAGGTCCCAAGCTTCATTAATTATTATCTAAATACTCGGAGTGAAGGACTAAGGGATAACTCTGAGTAGATGACGAGTGCTGTGTCTCACCTGCCTCTAGTCCCTCTGCCTCAAAGTCCTTTTAGTACTTCTTCCTAACCCTTGTTCATCCTTCAAGATACAAGAACCTCCAGTGGTCTTCCAGTGACCGTCACATCCCAATTTGCATTTCATGTCCCTTTAATATGTTTCACAGCACTTACACAATGTTTTAAAATTTATTTACCCATCCATTCTCAGTGATTCAAAGATGGAAAAGACATGTCTTCCTATCTTTAATCCTCAAAAACTAGTATAACTCTGGCATATAAGACACCTTATAAATGCCTATGGAATGAACATTTGCTAACCAAATAAATAAACTTTAGTGTTCATTAGAAATGTGTTGCTATGTTCTGGACAGTTAAAATAACTGGAATGTTAGTGACTATCACAGTAACCAAAGTATGCTTTTTATAGCTTATTTCATGCCATCTACATCTATCAGTAACCAATGAAACAGAAACTGCCAGTGGTCTTCCCTAGCCTCCAAACCGGCAACAGAATAAGAATATACATTAACCACGATACTACTTTGAGGAATTCTTGACATATATCATAATTCAGATCATTCATCATCCTGGTAACAGTTTTTATATTATGTAAAGTGTCAGAAATTAACACAGAACACCCCATTCCTAATACTAAGGTTCTGATATTTAATAATCATTTGTTCATCTGTGTAAAAATCATTTGAGCACCTATTATATGCCAGGCACTATGATAAAAATACAAACTTTTCAAACAATTTTAAATCAGCCTATTCAAGAGAGTTTAGAAATTAAACACGACGAACTAAGTTTTGCATCTTCAAATACCCTTTGTAAAGCTTATCTGAATTCTACCTAAGAGTCCTATTTTGTGTTGCTGTAAATTACCCTGAGGAAAGGGGATGTTAGGAATTGTTTTACCTGTCCTCATGACTTCCAGTACGAACATCCTTCATGGCAGCAAATCCGCAAGGCACTCTAGCATATTTATTTAAATTTTCAATAAGTGTTTTCCCTACTTCAAGGTAGTAAGGATCTCCTGTAGCCTATTAAAAAGGAGAATATATGTATACATATATATAGCTTATATATTACCATACACCCACTCATTTATCAGATATTTATTGAGTACCTACTAGGTGCTTAGGCATTGTATCAGGCACTGGAACACAGGTTACATAGAACTTAGCTCTGAAAATAAGCCATGGATCTGCTTTATGGAATTTCTTAAACACACAACTGGAAAGCTGTCCAACTATATATCTCAACCCTTAGATAAAATTTTTAATGCCCAGAAAGGTGGCCTGATTAAAGAAAGGTAAGAGACATGCTTTAGAAAGCAGCTTTCAAATATAAAACTCTATATAGAAATGTTTATACAAGTATTTTGAAAAGACAAAAAACTTAGATGTCAATTCTTACATCTTTCAGTAACTATGGACTAGATGAATTAAAACTGTAATATATCCAATCATTATAACATTAAACAAGCAGTCTGAAAACCCAATTACTATTATAAGATAGTGAGATATCCAACACAAAATGGGTGTTAAACAGCAAAAAAAAAAGAGGTAAAATAGCTTACTTTGTACAAGAAGTAGGTACTTTCTGCAAATTCTGGTCTTAAAGGATGTTGAGCCCAATGTACCCTGAAATCTGTCGTAAATGCCTGGACAAAACAACATATAAATAGGTACAGTAATGTGAGTTAAAAAATAAACAAGTGACTCCAGAGTATATAATAGCACATGAATTAGACCACAAACAATTTAAAAATAATTAAAATATTGATAACTTTCATCTACAAAATGAAAATTTTCATCGCTTAAAATCCCAATTCATTTTTGGTAAGGTACTATTTTTACCAATTAAATGTAATTATTTTTGTAAATGATCATTCTGGCTATTAGGAAGCTTAGAGAAAACTATGAAACTCAATAATGCCACTACATGGGCCTTTGTGTTTTCTTTTTCCTTATCTCCATTTTCCCCTCTGAAGTCCCTAGTTCTTATATTTCTATGTTGGCATTTTAGCATACACTTTCTTTTGTAACCTCAAATCCTCTGCAGAGTGAGACAGAGCATTAGTTAAAAACTACACTAGTCTCACTTGAAATTATTCACTAACAGAGCCAACTGGTTAAAAAAAAAGATTAAGGGGCGCTTGGATGGCTCCATCAGTTGAGCATCCAACTTTGGCTCAGATCATGATCTCACATTCGTGTTTTCAAGCCCCATATCAGGCTCTGTGCTGACAGCATAGAGCCTGGAGCCTTTGGATTCTGTGTCTCCCTGTCTCTCTCTGCCCCTCCTCTGCTTACACTCTGTTTCTGTCTCTCAAAAAAGAAAATAAAGTGTTAAAAAAAAAAAGATTAAAATAAAACTAAAACTTTGTTTTTTAGCTTTTTTAAAAGTTATTTTTAAAAGGG